ATGGTGTGGGTCAGGCACACCTTAGTCCTTAAAGTGACATTTTTGCTTTTGAACATCTTAAAGATGTCTTTTGCAGCAGATTTGCCCATTGCAATGTTTCGTTTGATTTCTTGACTGCTGCTTCCATGGGCATTGATTGTGGATCCAAGTAAAATGAAATCCTTGACAACTTCATGATGTTGCTTATTGGTCCAGTTGTAAGGATTTTTGTTTTCTTTATACTGAGATATAATCCATACTGAAGGCTGTGATCTTTGATCTTCATCAGTAAGTTCTTTAAGTTCTCTTCACTTTCAGCAAGCAAGACTGTGTCATCTGCATAATGCAAGTTGTTAATGAGTCTTCCTCCAAGCCTGATGCCCTGTTCTTCTTCATATAGTCCAGCTTCTCAGATTATTTGCTCAGCAAACAGATTGAATAAGTGTGGTGAAGTGATACAATCCTGATGAACACCTTTCCTGACTTTAAACCACACAATATCCCCTTGTTCTGTTCGAATGACTGCTTTTTGGTCTGAGTACAAATTCCTCATGAGCACAATTAAGTGTTCTGGAATTCCCATTCTTTGCAATGTTGTCCATAATTTGTTATAATCCACACAGTCGAATGCTCTTACATAGCCAATAAAATACAAATAAACATCTTTCTCGTATTCTCTGCTTTCAGCCATGAATATCCGACATCAACAATGATATCCCTTGTTCCACGTCTTCTTCTGAATCCGACTTGAATTTCTGGCAGTTCCCTGTCAATGTACTGCTTCCATCACTTTTGAATGATCTTTGGCAAAATTTTACTTGTGTGTGATATTAATGATATCGTTCGATAACTTCCTCATTCTGTTGGATCACCTTTCTTTGGAATGGGTACAAATATGGATCTCTTCCAGTTGGTTGCCAGGTGGCTGTCTTCCAAACTTCCAATCGTCAGAGCCCAGTGCAAATGCCACCTTCTCCAGGCAAACTATCCTGATATGCTTCCTCAAACCTGATTCTCTCCCTCTCCTAAAATCCCCTGGAACTATGTAGACCTCTCCTGTGACATTGAGGTCAGTCTCCTTTGTGCTATAATTGTTTGTGGAAGACTATCTCCTCTGACAAACAGGCTGGAGGGTAGAGCAGGCACCAGTGTTCCTAGCATCGGGCCTCATACATATAAGGCCATGATGTATATTGGATGGATGGATGGATGGATGGATGGATGGATGGATGGATGGGTGG